CAGACGAAAAGGAAGAACAACGAGGAAGGAGGGGTGGAAGCAGAGAAGGAGAATAGCGAAAGAGGGGTATGAAAGGGGTCGAGGGGCGCGGGAGGGTGAGGTAGGATGAGGAAGAGAATCGGCGAGGCTGAGGGGTAGTTCTGAGGCCGACGTCATAATCGATCGTCTTTTATTAAACTGCGCCAGATGGCGCCATCACCGCGCTAGGTATCGCGGCCCGCGAGAGGGCGAAAGAGGGAGCGAGAGGAAGGGAGATGAAGAGGGTGCCAGAAGGGGTGGCGGCCGCGTTTCAAGGGGGGGAGGTGGGAGAAAATAGAGGGTGGGCATAGGCGGAAGTAAGGGCGGTAGCGTTGCGCCAGAGGAAGGGGGTTAAACGGAGGAGAACCTTCGACCAGGGTTGCTTCTCCAACGCGAGAGAGGGAACGAGAGGGTTAGAGGGTGGCTGGCGAAGGAGTGACCGGGAGGGTGGCTGCAGCCAATCGTTTAACGATTACCCACTCTATATAACGCATTTCGGATGTCGTCGTTATGCCCTGGATCCTTTCGTACGGCGATCCTTAGGACGGGCTGCCGCTCCGTGGCACTCGCGCGAGACCCGCTTAAACGTTTCGCTTCTTTTTAATACGAGAACTCGAACCGAGGGAGAATTATTCTCCTTATGGATCCTCCAAGTTATTTCTTCTCCCCCACTTCGGCCGTCGGGGTCGCCGAAATGATTTAGAAGAGGGAAAAGAACGCGCACCCCGGGAACGCCGGGGGCGAGAGTTTATGGCGATCCTGACACGATTGATATTGCACTTTTCGAATCGTACGTTCGTGGTATCGACAGGTTTAATTGTGATGCGGGTCATTAAGGATTTAGAGGATGGCGGATAGAAAGAACGCGCGAAACGTGCGATCGCGGCCAATAAGTTAACGATTTTAACCCGATCCGATGCGCAAACGAGGGACGATTACGTCGATGCTCGGATGGATTTTGAGTTTCCGGAAATTACGGGGCGACGCGTTCCGAAGAAAATCGAGGGACTCGTAGTTCCGATCTCCCCTTGCTTCCCGTCTTTCTTCGTCTTTTCGTTTTACGTTTTGCGAGTGGCGACGGTGATTGATTGTCCCGTCAGCGGCAGACAGGACCGGGTACTATATAACAAAAGTAACAAAGCTTCTCCGTTCGCCGAGAAAGACGCGATGCTTTTGGGAAAGTTGAATTGTTTGTCTGTTCACGGGTTCCATTTGTTCTTCCGTATATATCATACGGGGATTTCCCAATAAGAGCAATAGAACTTTCGATCGAAGTAAAATTCGAACTACAAAAATCGTTTAAATAACCATCACGATTGTCAACAGTTTGTGGTTCGTTAGAATAAACGAGGGACTCGATACGGCCCCACCAGATGTAACAGAAACGTTTATCTGTAAGGAGATCGGCAAAGACGAAGTTGGCATAAGTTTATTTATCGATTTATGCATCGATTTATTTTTACATCTAGAACCACCTTCTCGGACGCGATACGATCTGTATATTTATATTTCGAACATCCTTCTTATCGATTTTCAATATTTCCGCGATAAACTTTTTATTTCGCGATGAAAATACGTATTGAAAAATATTAGAAACGAACAAGGAACATTTATTTATTCATCGGCAGCTGATTATAATTTAACATTCGAAGAAACTTTCTCCATGATATCCCTATTTTTTCGATCCGTATTCGAAGTGTATCTACGGTGCTTGAAATACGTTTTTTTTTATGTATTCACACGGTAAAAGCGATCCCTTCTGGTTTTGATTTTCGAGCATCCTCGGATGGAGTGTTGATCCCCAAAGCGAGCAACGTCTTGGGCTTCCTACCACTCTCTAATCTTTATCCCTGGGTAAAAAGATCGAATTTCGATAGATTTTTCCCCTCCACGAATTTTCCAATCTTTTAAGCATTTATTTCACGCCTTCTTCGATCTCATTAACGCTCGTGGATGCTTCGAATATTATTATAGAACCCGAAGAAACCCAATAAATCGTTTAAACCGTTGTATACCGTTCGCATTCTCTTCGAAATACGGCGCGACTAAAACAGCTCGCGCGAAGGTGTCGCGAATGGAATTATAGTAGGGGTGTGCAATCACGTTTTTGCGACAAAGAACGGTCAGTCGCAGTATTGAGAATCTGGCGCGAGTTTACTCCATTGCTAAAGAGCATATTAACGCGTCAGATCGTTAGGGTTCTGCACCGTGTCAAGCGCACACGCTCCCGGCAAACGAAAATACGAAAACAATTTGGGCAAATTAATCGCTTGCAGATCCATGTAATTTTCTCGCCTCTGATATATCCGTTTAATCTGTCATCTCTGATTCTCGTTCTGACTTTCATGCAGGCGAAATAAAATAGAAAAATTGCGGCTGGCGAGAAGCTTTGCGCAACCACGAAGTAATATCGAATGTTTATTCGATACAAGAAGAATCGGAACAAGAAGAAAACGAGACGCTTCTGGCCGAGTACAAACGAATCGAATCGTGGCAAAGCGAATCGCTTTATTAATTAACTTCGATCGTATCTTGTATTCGCGCGATTTAGTACTGTTTTTCCGACTAAATTTTAGATTTCGACCGCGACGATTGTATTCTATCAATTATTTTCCCCGTGAAATTTTAAACGCGAAAATTCAAATATTCCCGGCTGCGTGTATCTGCGATTGATTTCCAATCCCAGAGGCGATTGACTGTCGACGCACCGGCGTACTATCAGAACAAGCCCGTTACAAGTATGACAATCTATTATTAGTGGAAACTTCAGTCGCGTTCGCGTTAAAAAAGACTGAAAGGCACATTGACGCATCAAATTCGTTCACGTTTCCTCGTGTCAGGTGCACGCCGCTCCGCGTGAACAAGCTCGAACGAGAAACGTTCCATAAACTGCTCCATAAGATATTAAAGAATAATAAACTTTTTATTAATTTCGCACCCCTCCACAGCTGAGCCGGGCAATATTAATAATGACGCGGACGTCAAGCGCAGACAAGGTTGTTGAACACGTTTCGAAAATTGTTGATAGTCTGTAAAGTGACTCGTTAAATAACGGGACATTATAAATCGTATTTGCGCCCGTATTCCTCGTTTATTTACCTTAAAAACGGATTTCAGGACATACTTGATATTCTGATAGAAACTCTATTCTCTTCAGAGAACACCTAATATTACGATATTTATATATATATATTCGTATGGATAAAATATCTGTATTGCCCGACTATACAACGACAATACTACTTGCACAGATCCTCCGTAAGATACAGTCGCAAGTAGAATGCTGATAGAGCCAATTTTTAAAAGAACAAAAGAATATTTTACCAAAGAAATTCTAAAGAGGTTCAACCGTAATAACTTTCTGATATCGCGAGACGCGCCGGTGGAAAATTAAAGTTCCGAAACATCGAAACGGTCGACGTTTCGCTAACAAGAAAATCGCGTATCGCGTATCGCGTTTTCGCGATCCGAAACACGAAAAGTCGAAGCAACGTGATTCCAACGTCAAGGCGATAACTTTCTGGTCCAGCAGGGTGTCAAGTGCACACACGAACGCACCCGGCGACCAATGAAAATTCGAAAAGCAGTTTAGGTAAATCAATCCGCGGCGAGGTCAATGCTTCGACGTAGCTTAAGGCTACGCTCGTATAATAAAGTGGCGAACAGGGTGAAGAGATTGGGTGCCACGAAAGGAGAGACGGGCTATTGGAGAAGGGTGGGCGGGAAACGAGGGGAGAAGGAGAACATTTTCAGGAGAGTTCATGTGCGTTTGACGTTGGCCCGTTCAGCGGTTCGGTAATACATGGTCTTTAATATACGAAAATGACGCACCCTTTCTCGCCACCCCATTACTCTCGAGCGAGCGTATTCACGGGGAAACGAAAGAAGAAACCTTGCGAGTTCTCGGTCAACGATATTGCTCGTTGTCTCCGAGCAACAGAAATCTGACCGAGACAAAGGAAAATTTGTTTAAAGCGACCAATTTTTTGCATCCTTTGGAAATGGAAACTTCGTACATCGAGTGCCACTCGAGGGATTAACGCGCAATTTTTCAATAGTTCCCCATCCCTGGTTTCAAGACTAATAGAATTAGGTTGTGCTCGGTGGATGATCCGAGGGGAACGCAGGAGAATCGAAATCGCTGATACGTCGAGCACAGAAAGGGGTCCGTCTGTTTTTCCGGCGTAATCTTTGTTTAATGCACGTTAAACGACGAGGGGGAGTTTGAACAAAGAATTCGTATTCTAGATAGAGACTTTACGCAAATATCTACCTTGAAACCGCGATCCTGATTTCTTTCTATTCTCTTCTATTCTCTCTTTTTAATATAAATTAAAAAATTTTAAATCGTTCTAAAAAAATTATTTTTAGTTTCAGGGGTTAATTTCAATCATTTTTTATGAATAGACACACCCTCGAAATCCTACCCAGTTTCGAGAAAAAAAATTCAATAAGCGGACAAATTCAACGAAATTAAAAAATTTTAAATCGTTCTAAAAAAATTATTTTTAGCTGCAGGGGTCAATTACAATAATTTTTGATGAATAGACACAACCCCAAAATCCTACCCAGTTTCGAGAAAAAAATTCAATAAGCGGACAAATTCAACGAAATTAAAAAATTTTAAATCGTTCTGTAAAAATTACTATCGGTTGCGGGGGTCCATTAGAATCATTTTTGGTCGATAGACATACCCCCGAAATCCCACGCACTTTCGAGAAAAAAATTCTTGACCGAAAACACAATGTCTGACCATACATTGATACATTCCCCTGAAATTTCAGGCGTATGTTTAAAAAATCATAACTCCTGAACGGATTGGAGGATTTTAATGTTTCAAAATGCAAACGACGCGTATTTTGGCAAAGAATATGTAGAAATTCCAAGACCGATCGTAAAGTTTATCCTTGAACCCAAAAATGAGAAATTAACGTTAATTTTTTCGACTGAGATCTAATTCCTTTTCAATGGTTTGGTCGCAGGTGAAGATCTGGTTCCAAAATCGACGAATGAAGTGGAGGAACAGCAAGGAGAGGGAGCTGCTGGCCACTGGCGGTTCGCGGGAGCAAACGTTGCCAAACAAGAACAATCCAAATCCGGATTTAAGCGACGCCGATGGGGACAGACCGAGGATGGACTTGAGCGACGTCAGCCCTCTGACGAGTCCTCAGCGACCGGAAGAGCAAACGGAGAACGAGGAGGACGAAGAGATCAACGTCACGTGATAAAATTTCACGCGACACCCTAATTAGAACGTGTCTGTTCGACTAGACGATTCCCAAAAAATGATCAAGGATTCACAGATAGCGTGGAAGGTGGACGAGGAGATCGGTATCGCGTAATTACCTCCCTAAATCCTAAGCAGAAGAACCCAATGTGTCCGTTCGAACGGAGGGACTCGCCAAGAACGATTCTGATATCCGTGGATCGAGAAATTGCCCTGTAATCAACGATTTTCGGTCGCTCCGATCCAGAGACAATCTTTCTATTTAGCGATGGTATATTCTGTTTTGTCGCGTGATCTGAGAACGGAAGTCATCTTTGCACAGATGGTAACTTTACTCTCTGTGATACTCGATACAGTTTCTTTTCGGTCCGCGTCTGGGAATAGAAATTAATTTGATAGAAACGGAGGGGGGGGGGAAAATCGTGGTAGACCGATAATGGGAATAATATTTCTCGAGAGAAACTATTACCGAAGCTGCGAGTTAAGTTCCTAAAAATGTAAGATAACGTTTCGTCGCGAGAAGCTTCGTTACGTGAGACTGGATCAAATAGCAAGGTTCCTTATGGCAGACTTTTTTATTTCAGCTTCTATAACTATCAAAGTACGATGTCTCGAACGTCGAACTACGCATTTCAAGTTTTGTTAACATTGTAAACTTTATGAAAAAACCAACGAGTCATATTATTATTATTATCGAGGGAACCTTACTTTTTGATATTGAAGTCATTTCCTTGAATAACCACGATGATAATATGTGTTTCTAAATTGTGTATTTAATCAGAATGAATCTGAATTTACTCAGAACTAGTCATTATGTAAATTCTATGTGAAACGATTTAACAAAATTTGTTACCCATTGTTGTACATTAATTTTCTCCGTTCCGCATATTTAAAATAATAATTTCTAGTGGGTTGCACGGCTCGAAAAAACTACGAACTTAATTTATCGACGAAGTTTTAGGCAAGCGTTGTAAGTACGTATGTTTAATTCGCGATACGTGGCGATGTACACGAAAGTGGATCTCATAAGGCAGTGTTTCCTAACATGTGTGACACGTCTATAAATTAATGAAAAATACCTTATTTGCAAAAGAGTTTTCATTATTTGAAGATACCGCAAATAATATTCTTTTGCCACTCGCTACTAATATAAATAACCATAGAAGAGTGCGGATCATTTTTTTTTTTTAATTTTACATCATGAATTGGCGGTAACTGTTTCGAGCAATCTTTAGAGCATAAAAGATTGATGTTCGAGAAAACGACTACAAATATCTCATTAATACTTGAATTGTTTGTAAATGTAATACAGCGAAAATTACTGCGAATTTCTCGTGAGGGTGTTGCGATGTAGAAAAGATCGAAAGCTGCACCGTGAAGAAGTTTGCTTCGTTCTCGCGATATAATGACGGGAATGTTTAACGAGTATAGGAAGAATGAATGGACAGAAGTATTTGCTCGAGCATGTATAAATACATTGAATTCAGATTTCTTTTCGAAACTGACGGGAATATTTGTCCTGCGCATTTTTATTCGTCTACCGCGAAAGCTTTGGCCAAACGGAGTTTCAACTAAATCGACAAATGTACTATATTGTAATTAGAGATGGATGTAAGTTCGCGAAGTTTTCTGTAAGGTATATTGTGTAAGGTTGTACTAGACGTAATGTTGCAAAATTCCTAAGATATGTACATGTAATGCCGTTTGGCATCGGGAAAACCAAATGTAATTATTCATTGTGATGCATTATAATCTGTGTAATATATTGCAATAAAACTGTCTATGCCAATCATTTCAGATTTTCTGTCGTCGATGAATCTACGTATTTGGTGGGTAAGCGTAGCCTAATTGCTTTGTTTCGCTTCTCAACATCTCACCGACGATCATAGATCATAGGTGTAAAACCAATTGATTTCTGCCTGAATCATTTTTTCCACAGCGGTAAGTCTACAAGTAATTTGCATTTATAGGTTATAATTTGTTATTTCATCTAATATTTTGATAAAGATACCGTAGCGATATGAGTGAAACTCGAACGCTTCTCAAATTAAATAATAAATAAGTAAACATATATACACTGTAGCACATTGCGAATTATAGAATAGATGTTTCATTGCAAACGTGGTATATTGAGGTTACATGAAATGCTTTTTTGCGTCAGACGGATTAAGGACTCGCCAAAGCTTATGACTATGTATAATAAAAAAGAATGCATTATGCCGCCATCTACGGCAGAACGTCCAAGTTTGTCGAGAAATGGTCCATTGTTTTCGATGCTAGATGACGTCATACATATTCATTTTCGAAATATACTTTTAATTTATTTTTAGGAACGCTTACCGCACGCCAATTAATCCTTAAATAGGCTGCACAAGCAGATCTTACACCGCAGACGAAGTATCCAAGTAGACTTCACACCTTACGGACTTTCGTGGCTCGAGCTGACTGCCCTGCCGACCTGAAATCGAAAATTCTATAATTCATTAAAGAATCGAAATATCAAAGCCCTCAAAATGTTATGTTCGATCCCTGTGCTTTACACGATATGAATCTGTAAACCCTCAAAACGATTTACATGCAAGATATCTTTAGCTTTCTGTCTTACCGCCTTTTGGTATACGTGTGTCATCAAAAATTTATAGGCACGCATAGTGCAATATAGATTAAGGAAATGAAAGTACAAACATGTGCTTTGTCGTAACATTTTTGTATGTCGTGATATTTTACTATTGCATAACCTTAATACATAGTATCTATGAACCTACGAAGGTTTAAGATTCGTAATTAATAAAGAGAATAATTCGTTAAAAATTGTACGATTTAACTTCAAGCATATCATTTTTCAGATACGAAATGTGCCTTTCAACGGTATAATTACGCGGGAAAACAAGTATCGTCTACTTACAATGACTTCGAAACAACCCGTAAGTGGAACACTTTTCACATCGCTACACTAGTTTATAAAATACAAAATGAAAGGGGTTAGGTACTTTTCAACGGTAAAAACGCGCCTGAGCTTGCAATAAAAAAGAATGCACAACGCCGCCATCTACGGCAGAACGTCCAAGTTTGTCGAGAAATAGTCCGTTGTTTTCGATGCTAGATGACGTCATACATATTCATTTTCGAAATATATTTTTAATTTATTTTTATTAACACTTACCGCACCCCAATTAATCCTTAAACAGGCATACAAGCAGATCTTACACCACGCACCAAGTATCCAAATAGACTTTATACTTTACGAACTTTCGTAGCTCGATTGTCGTGCCAATCTAAAATTGAAAGATGATTTTAGCGTCCTCTTCCCGCGAATGGTGGTTACTTGAGAAAATTCTATAATCGATTAAAGAATTCAAATATCGAAGCCCTAAAAATCTTGCGTGCAATCCCTGTGCTTTACACGATATGAATCTGTCCATCCTCAAAACGATTTACATGCAAGATATCTTTAGCTTTCTGTCTTACCGCTTTTTGGTATACGTATGTGCATACTTATTTACGCGGGAATAGTATTTAATATACCCATAAAAAATTTATAGCTATATTTTACCATTACATAACCTTGATACATAGTATCTACGAATCTACGAAGGTTTAAGATTCTTAATTAATACGGAAAAGAGAATAATTCGTAAAAATTGCACGATCTAACTTGAAGCATATCATTTTTCAGATACGAAATGTACTTTTCAACAGTATAAATAAGCGGAGAAACAAGTATCGTCTACTTACAATGACTTCAAAGCAACTCGTAAGCGCAACACTTTTCACATCCCAAACAGTAATTTATAAAATAGAAAATGAAAAATCACCCGGAAAGTACAAACTGTACGCGGTTCGGACCATTAGCCTGTACAGGCATAGACAAAGTGTGGGATAGAGGTCACTAGTAATTTTTTTTTCGTAACGTACGGGTTAAGGGCACTAACAATGCACAGTGTAGACGTGTTAAGTGATATGTAGTTTTTCGTGTCACCAGGCAAGGAATACGTAAGTCGAGCTTCAAGGTGAAGTCGAGAGTCCGGCGATCGAGAATATAAACAGGAGCTAAGCGAGCGTCGAAACATAAAAAGCGTATCGAATTACAGACCCTGGCTTCGGAATGCTGGCAATAGTAAGAATAAAATTACTTTTATAAAATATTCTAAATATAATAGATTAAACAGTCAGACACCCACAGCGGAAGTCTGTGTCCTACGACGTAAAGTACGGACATTGTAAAAAATTAATATTCTCGTATTTTCTATATATATTTTTTGGATTTAATTTCGATTATAAATTAATATATTTACATATTATTAATTACATCGATATTTCATCTTTGAGAGACACTATCGAATATATTAAATATATCGAAAGACGGAAGTGAGGCATTGTGACGTCACGGAAGTGCATCGATAATAAATCAATAATAAATCAATAATTAATCAATCGGTAATTAATTGTTTATCCGATATTTTTCTGTATTTATTTTACAGCTGCAGATATCATTAATTTTATTCGAGATATAAGGTTTAACCTTTCATTCGGGAATAAAGATCGAGAATCGAGATGTTGGACCACCTGACCATCTCTCCCCACCACTCCGTCCGTTTCCGTCCGTTAACGGCAACGGCGCTTCCCTCTCCTCTTTCGCTCGGTAGCAACTGGTGTGATAAGTGCGTTGACAGAGTCGCGGCTAATTAGGTACGAAATTTTTATTTCTAAACGTTTTTAATCGCTATTATTGCGCTTCGTTACTCTCCATCGGTGCCTTCCTACAATATTATTGCGAATCTATGCCAAATTCGTGTTTTATTTCCGTTACAGATCGTAACTGAAATTCGAGCAGAAGTGACGTCACCGGCATACGACGCCATTTGCTTACGACGCCATTAGTGCTTCGAAGTGTTCAACAAGTATCGTGAGTATTCATGTACATGAATTCGTTGTCTTTTTATCGAGTCCAATGGGTGTTTGATTAATAGTTTTATTGTTTTAAACATTTTTATGACCGCTCGTAATGCGGTTTGTAGAATCAGTGTTTCTTTCGTAGAATAATTCGTCGCGGCTAATTAGATACGAATTTTTTATTTCTAAACGTTTTTAATCGCTATTATTGCGCTTCGTTACTCTCCATCGGTGCCTTCCTACAATATTATCGCGAATCTATGCAAAATTCGTGTTTTATTTGCGTTACAGATCGTAACTGAAATTCGAGCAGAAGTGACGTCACCGGCATACGACGCCATTTGCTTATACGACGCCATTAGTGCTTCGAAGTATTCAACAAGCATCGTGAGTATTCATGTATATGAATTCGTTGTCTTCTTATCGAGTCCAATGGGTGCTTAATTAATATTTTTATTGTTTTAGACATTTTTATGACCGCGCGCAATGCGGTCTGTAGAATCAGTGTTTGTTTCGTCGAGTAATTCGTCATTTTTTGAGGCAAAGTTGCTTCGAGTAGCGTTGCGTTTACAGTTCAGGTACACGTGAAGGTCGAGTCAGTGTCTATTGCGTATATACAAATTCTTTCCAGAGCATCGTGGCTCTTTACTTTCTGAATCGCGACCGTATAGAGTCTCTTGTCGCGTTAGTTTATCATTCTCTTGAATATTTTTTTCTTCAATTATTCCTTTGAAAATTAGAATTATTCGTACGGTATTAGAATCAATGGATCGCTGAAGAGGAGTTTTGGACTGTGCTTCACGAGCAGAAAATGTAAGTATTATCACACATTGTTATATTACATTTAGAAAAAAATTGATATCTTCAAATTTTATCTTTGTTAACAATTTTCAATATTATTCAGAAGCTTTACTGACTTTTGAATATGTAGTATTTTACATTAGATTAAGAATCTATACAATTTTAACAATATATTATAATTGGTTTGTTATTCTTCACAGTTTCTGGATTTCTACATCATGGAAGCCAACAGGACCACACTGATGACTTCACCAATGACTTCTACTGGGCAGCACCACCCTCACAGCCCCCTCCAAGCGGTAGTAATTCGTCGTAGTCAACGGTCGGTGAGTCGCATGTGTTTTTGTTCCTCTGGTCCCCCAATCATGTTGCAAGACAAAAGGTCTGAAGCAACACGGGTGACCAGTTGTATACTTAGCATTTTTTACGAATATAGTGACCGCGGGTATTTTTTATACCCGTGAGTAGGAACACAATTTGTTTTATTGTTTAGTTTAGGCTAGGGTTTTTTTGTACCCCGCGTTTTTTAACATGATAAATGCTGCATATTAAGCGAATATGAGCATATAATTCAGTAATGTTCAAATCTGAACATTAATTACAATAAAATTACACACAGTAATTTTTATAGTACAAATAGTTTTCACTTTTTATTCAATTCATTATACAATGATGATTCTCTTGGTAATATCATTCATATTATATTGAATATTGGTCACTTTTTATATTTTTCTCATTTCATATTGAAATATAAATTAATGATTATGGAACATATTATAGACTTTCATTACTCGTTCAAGGAATTTTTTTAATATATTAAATATTCATTAACCTGTTAACCTCAGGAAGACAACTTTTTTAATATTGATCATTTCCTTAATTATTATAACATACGATGTATAATATATCAGGTACAAAAAAAACATTTCGCGGCTAGTCGATTTTCGAGTGAAAGTAACAAGCATTGAGAAATTTACTTTGACAACAGAATCGACCGGGGATAATTAATATTTGAATGAATAATTTAATAAATTTATTTAAATGACTTATCTAAAATGTTCAAAGTAGACTATTTTATCGTAAAATCTTGATTAACGTTTGCCCTTTTAAATAATTAAATTTCAATTTGAATAATTTAAAAAAAAAAATAACATTTTTCAGTATAAACGTATTTTGCTGTTGATATACCGTTTCGTTATACTCTGTTGTTTATTAACCACTTTTTAGTTGAGGATTTTCAGGACACTTTTCCGTGTTCATTGCCTAAACTCATGCACGTGCCCAGGCGCTACTTGCATGAGCGAAGGCAATGGGCACGATGATTTAGTTTGTAAGAATCTCTAATAATATACTTGAGCGGCTGACACTGCGTTAGTGAACTGTGCACGACGTAGTTTCCACATGTGTGTGTGTGGTTAGGATGTGGAAATGCGTCGTTTTAAAATTCCTTATAATTTACAAATAATATTGTACCTTGCAACAGTACATGTTTATGAAATTCAATAAGAATATCAAACTTTTATTTCTTATTTTTATAATGATTCTTGAATACTTAATAATATTAGTTTTTAAATTCGACATAAGTAAAACAAGAAAGTCAATAATAATAATCGTAAAAATAGTAGAGAAGTAACAAATATATAAATACAATAAAATATATTTTATCTAATTTAATTAAAAAGCTATATAATGTTTATGTATAAAGTATAAAAACGCAATAGTCACTACCTTTGTCAGCTGATTTCAGGATTGGTACGTAACCTTAGAGTATGAATGTTGTATGCAATGTTCGGGTGTCGGAGGAACCCCGGGGAATCCTCTCTAGTTTAGGCCGCGCCCGAACATTATGTGTGAGAACCGTGGAGTGCATGTTTGCGAGAATGAGCTTTGCAATTTTTTAAATACAGCGTTAGGTAGGTAGGTAACTTACTTTCTGGTATGTGTGTTAAATATAAGTAGGTAGGGTCAGGGCAGGGCTGTTACAGGCCCTGTACCTGTAGTTCGATTTCAAGAGTCGAAATGTTAGCCGATCCAAACGGATTATACCGTTTGCTTTGGTTTTATTTTTGATTCTTGAAATCGCACGACTTTACTGTCGCTCTTCGCGTTCGCGTTCGTTCGCGGTAGGATCCCCGAAACGCTCGTCCCGCTCGAGTTTCTCCACACCTGTTCCGATAACGATTCTTAGAATTGTGTATTGCACGGAGTCTCGAGCCTAGTATTAAGTTTCAGGCTTTGGCAGGACCGCCGAAGAAAGAAGAGACTCTCAGGAGTCGAAGAGGCCCTGACAAACTGTTTCAAGAGTGGGCTACAACAAATGGCTCTGCATCTTCATCTTTGGATGAGGATGGAGAGTCATTCATGGTTCCTACATAGTCACTATATTCGTCTGTAGTTGTAGCACTTGTAGCTTTTCAGATGGTACCTTCTCCAGTATCAAGAAGTAGCCTGGAACGGCTACACTCATTAGTAAAATTAGCGTTGCGCATTATTTAATACGCGATTTTATTAGTGTCGCGAAATTAATCGCGTTTGCTTCTAGGATAGCGTTGCGACTAATATAAATGTATCATGATAACTGTTAGAGTTGCGAACGATGAATATTCTTCGCGTTTTCTTTCAGAGTAGTGTCGCGAATAAGAATCGATAGCGGTTTGTCATTAGCGTTGCGAACCACGAATTATTCGCGTTTGTTTGTCTAGTTAAAGTTGCAAATAGTTTGCATCAATTGCATAGTTCAATTTAGAGTTGCGAACGATAAGAATTTTTCGCGTTTACTTTTTCAGGTTAGAGTTGCGTGTGAATATTAATCTCGGTTTGCTGTAGCGTTGCGAAACACGAATACTAATCGCGTTGTTAATTGCAAATAATATAAATATGATCGCGATTATTTTTAGTGTTGCGATTCTTTTTTCGCGTTTGCCTTTCAGGTTAGTGTCCAGGAATCACGATGCAGCCGAAGTGACTGCACCAGCTGATGTTCTCTGCATCCTGCATCCACGGCTGCTCTTATTCATGTAATTTCATTTCCTACCACCATAAGCGTTCTGATCGCTTTCCATAGCCTGTTGGTAATGTTGCGAGTGTCACGGGAATCCGTGTTTTATGGTAAAAAGGAATTAACTACTTTACGGAAAGTTGCATCGGCGCCATCTACTGTAGGACGTTCAGATTTGTCAAAATTACTGCATTTATGCAACGCTAAGGGGCGCCATATGCATGTTTGATCGAACAGTACTTGCAATAGCGGTGATTTCATTCAGTCTCTTCAACAGATGTGTGATTTAGGGCAAAATTATAATTCTAATTAACATTTACATGATACCTATTATTAAGTAACTTTCAATATTTTTATTTCACGTGCCAAATAAAAAACAGCACTTATAGGTAAAAGTGTATGGTACGATGTAAATGAATTTTAGATTTATAACAAATAATGCAATTGATCGTTAGTCAGTGGATTGGTTTTTGATTAGGAACAGAAATTCTCTGCTCGTACATCCAAAAATCCTAATCGTCGATCAAAGGTACGATTATAATGCACGATCAGTACACGCAGGGGCGACATGTTATGCACACAACACGTTAAAACATGCACACAGAAACCTACACGGTGAACACGATTATACGCCTATAACAGACAATTAGACGGTACGTAGCGACACGGGTAATATCGATTTGCATATCAACGCGAGCACGTGCGCTTGCCGATGTTGCAGGATTCGTTCGACGTATTCCGAGAACTCGTACGGAACACGATCGCAGAGAAAAATAACGACTCGCGCCAAGGATTAGCAAATTAATTTATTTTTGTTCAATTCAAAATACATGCAATTCGATCAATCTAAAATCAGAGAAAAAATACGATTCAAAATTCTAGCGTAGTAAAAATATTTAATTGAAAAAAACAAAGTACCGTATTTGTTCGAATATAAAAGAAATCTAGGATGGGCAAAAGTGTAAGATTAATCGCGGAACTTCACTATGTAGCGTAGATCCTGGGTTCCCCTTTACTGTTAATCCTCACGCACAATTATACGTTTACACGACGAGCACAATGGCAGGATACGAAGAGCGTTCACAATAGAACGGTAAATACGCATTAATTACAACGTTATGGCACTCTGCGATCGGAATTAGTGGCGGGCGTCTGTTTCGATTCGCAGCTTGTCGCGCTTTGCTATCGGCGCTTATGGCGGTGTCGTCGCTGCGAGGTCAGTGGAACGCCGACTATATAAATCGAGCTCTCATTAAAACGTGACTTACGGCACTTTCACGAGCGAACGAAGTTAGGCGGCGTGCTTGCACCATTCTTCGCTATATCCCCTCTTCGTTCGATTCTTGAACCGTGCACTGTCCTCTCGTTCCCTCTGCCGGCAATTTCTCATAGCTCATTCCTGTTTCCTGCGTAGCGACAGAATCACAAACGTGATACGAGCGGTAGCGACACCTTCTCATACACGGACCTTACTATAAGCCAGTGGTTCTCAAACTTCGACTCACGAATCTCCTTATTGATAGAACAGCATGTCATATGCTATGAATATTCATTATCAGGCAATTTCGTTTTTCCAAATTTCAATTGCGCGGGTCTCTGTTCCAACCGGAAAATAGAACGGGCGGATAATAGATAAACTCACCCCTACAAATCGCGTTTATCATCAGTTTTTTATTCGTTCACGACTTCAGTCGTCGCAAGACTCCTCTATGAAGGAAAAGCTTTGACGATTCATGATATTTTTTGGATTTCGAAGAACAAGTCTTTTCCATTGAATTTGTGCATCGAATTATTGGTAATTTAACTTTGTGCTTGATTTCGAACGCGATAACGAATACGTTTATGTCGTTAATACTGAATTTTCCACACCGATAGAGGTAT